GCATTCTCTATTGCCTGGAACACGTTTCCTCAAGGAGTTGGCTGACAAGTCTGGCCTACTGGGCTTATATTTCATTCAATCGGGCCTCTTGCGCCCAGAACATCGACATAGCATCAGCTCACGCAACAATGCTTCCTTCAGAATTCGTCTTGCGTAAATGGTCCATGCTCATCTCTTGCATGAGCTCTACTGACAGTCACGAAAACCAATGATCCTGAAAATGAACAATGTCGAAGACAAGTCCCGGTTTAAAGCGTGATCCATCGAGGGTCAGGCTCATCAGTTCCTTACTCCCGCAAGGAGTGATGCAGAGACCCAGACGCGGATGGTTCAACCGTTTTGGAGGAAGGGCCGAACAAAATTCGACGGCAACGCGAAGCGGTTTAATCAATTCGTTGTGGAAGGTTCCAATCTAACTTCCTGCCTAGCCTCAACCGGCCCGGAAGGATTTAAGTTTCCATTCAAGATCTTCTGAAACCTGACTTGATAGTCACAACTTGGAGAAGCCCGACACTCGGCGCCCCAACAACCCTAACGCTGAGGCTAAACCATGTGAAGCGACAGACCCGCACGAGTTGCCACGCAGCGGATGCGTCTCCACAGCAACTTGGTCGACCGCAAACGTGATTCTGTCTCGAGCAAGTTCACCTGAAAACCTGCTCTCTTGACACTCACTTTCACATCATTCGTCCAAAGCCGACTTCCTACACTCGGCTTTCTTGTCTGCTTGACTGGTTCTGGTAGTCAAGGTGATGCAGTACTGGCATCGCACGCGAAGCCATTCTGTACTTCGCGGCTGTACCAATTCGTGGGTGTGTGGACCAGCCTCGGCAACAGCACACAAAGGGCTCAGGTCACAAAAGATGTATCACTTCCCAGCATGCTCCAGATTGCATGTAAAAAGCAGTTTATTTAACGACTAACAACATATTTTTCCTTGTTTTTTTTCATCCAGAATAGACAGGACTGGTTAACAGGTCAACCAGACTGTGGTCTCTGAGGTAATTAATCATGATTATTGTTGACAAGAAGAAGCGTTCATTTCGTATCAAAGCGCATGAAGAAGAGATTCGTAGTTTGATCCCACCAGAAGACGGCGCCAGTCCACGAGACATCCCTCCTCGTTTCGCGCGAAGATGGACTAAGACAAATAGCGTCAGAGCTGAAACTCACTCTTCTTCAGGTTTCACGTCAACATCAA